AAAACAATTGGAGTGAAGTGGGTTTACAAAACCAAATTGAAGGCAAATGGAGAAGTGGATAAATACAAGGCGCGCTTGGTAGCTAAAGGTTACAAGCAAGAATTTGGGATTGATTATAAAGAGGTATTTGCTCCTGTTGCAAGGCATGACACAATCAGATTAGTGATTGCCTTGGCAGCACAACATGAATGGCCTATTTATCAACTCGATGTGAAATCAGCATTCTTGCATGGTGAACTTCAAGAACAGGTATTCATTGATCAACCTCCTGGTTTTGTGAGATCTGAAGATGTGAGAAAAGTTTACAAATTGAAAAAGGCTTTATACGGGCTGAAACAAGCACCGCGTGCTTGGTATAGTTGTATTGAAGCTTATTTTTTGAAGGAAGGTTTTCTAAAATGTCCCTATGAGCACACTTTATTTGTTAAAATGGGTAAAGATGGGAAAATTCTGATTGTGTGCTTATATGTTGACGATCTCATTTACACTGGAAATGATGTGGCTATGTTTGATGCATTTAAGCATTCAATGATACATGAGTTTGAAATGTCTGATCTTGGTATGATGCATTTCTTCTTGGGCATTGAAGTTGAGCAAACTGCCTCTGGAATATTCATCTCCCAGAAGAAATACACACAAGAAATTCTGGAAAGATTTCAAATGAAGGATTGTAATCCAGTGAGTACGCCAATTGAGGTCGGTTTGAAGCTGACTAAAAAATCTGATAGAAGTGAAGTAGACAATACTTTATTCAAGCAGATTGTGGGTAGTCTAATGTATTTGACAGCAACAATGCCTGATATAATGCATGGAGTTAGGCTCATCAGCAGGTATATGGACTCTCCCGATGAATCTCATTTTCAAGCAGCAAAAAGGATTCTCCGGTACTTGAAGGGAACTACTGGATATGGCCTTCTTTACAAAAAGGGTGAAAAATCAGCAATATATGGATTTACTGATAGTGATTATGCAGGTGATCTTAATGATAGGAAGAGTACATCAGGCTATGTATTCATGATGGGCTCAACGGCAGTTTCATGGTCCTCTAAGAAGCAATCAATTGTTACTCTGTCAACTACGGAAGCTGAATATGTAGCTGCAGCTGGTTGTGCTTGTCAAACTATTTGGCTCAGGAACATTCTTGAATGCTTGCATTTTAAGCAAGAGACAACTCTGATTTACTGTGATAATAGTTCAACAATAAGACTCTCGAGGAATCCAGTATTTCATGGAAGATGCAAGCACATTGATGTGCGGTTTCATTTTCTCAGGGATCTTGCTAGAGATGAAACTATTGAGCTTCTCTTTTGCAGAAGTGAAGATCAGGTTGCGAACATAATGACAAAACCTTTGAAGATTTCAGCTTTTCAAAGGTTAAGGAAGCTGTTGGGTGTTTGTGAGTCTGCTTAAACTGAGAACATGCTCAACGTTTCAGTTTAAGGGAGGGAATGTTGAAGAATAAGTAATGTTGAATAAGTCCAATGCTGAATAAGTCTAGTATTGACTCAGTATTTTCAGTACTCCGTATTAATCAAGTTTGTTGTCCTATTCTTTAGGAAGTAGCTGTACACTTCTATGGCTTTCCTTCTTTTTAGCAGATATAGTTTCTTTCATGTATGGCCTATAAATTGGCTTTCCTATGGAATAATATATCATCAAGTTCTTCTCTGATTCCTCTGTTGATTTCCTGAGTTCTCCAATTTATATTAGTTTCATATATTTCTTCTTATTAAGGTTGCTCACAACCTGTTTGATAAAAGTTCCAAAGAAACCCAGTCTACAAAGGGAGAAAATTAAAGTAGAAATAAAACATAAAAAAATACTAAAATAAAATTTTCATGTTTTTATTCTCAAAATATGAGTTAAAATACATACACAATGCTAATCATACTAATATGTAGTACAAAAAAGTATTGTGAAATGTCCATATTTGCAAATTTCTATTTTGAGAATAAATACATGAAACTTTTGTGTTGATACTTCACTTTCTCAATGTTTACTTCTATTTGGGGTGGTATCTTTATTCTGTTAATGTGTGGCCACAAAGAAATTGAGATAAGCATCAAGGGAGAAAAACCAAAATAGTGTTTTTAGAACCTTAAAATACTCTAAATATCAGTGTTATATGTTTCGTGCATGTGATTCCAATTTTTTCATTTTATTAAACTGCAAAGGTAGTGTGGTTTTTTTATATGCGAGTATTTAATGTGGCAGTGTAGAATTCATATATGTTGTTATATCTTACGGCAGTGTGTAAGTGTATTATTGTGTTCTTTAATTTCATGATGGAGTGCAATGTCCATTGATTTATGTGGCAGTGTTTTCATGTATAAATTCTACACTTTCAAAAAGTGTATGACTGTATTCATGTATGAATTCCACACTGTCCAAAAATGTATAACTCTTTTTATGTATGAATTCCACATTGTTTTCATGTATGAATTCCACACTGCCAAAAATGTGTATGACTTTTTTCGTGTATGAATTCCACACTGGCCAAAAATGTATGCAAGATTTCATGAATAATATATTACACCAAGACACACTGGTCAAACATAAGCGTTAAATATGGAACTTAAGTTAATACGTGCGGACTTGTTTAGGCATTATACATTGGTAAACTGCGTAGGAGGAGGATCTCGCAAAGCTATGATAAATGACGTAAGATGATGTTCTCGTACGTATGAGCCGCATGTATGAGGAGTGGCTACGTGAATAACCTAAGTTTAATCAAATAATTAAAAGTAATTAAAAATAGTAGAATATAATAAAAGGTAGAGGGAACGATCGAAAGATATTGACACTATAAATAGCTAAATTCGCATAAAAGATTAAGGAGTGCTATATGCATAATATTGAGTGTCTTAGAGTGCTATGTAGGGTGATTTCTTAAGTACCGAAGAATTTATCTAAATAGATTATAGTGACTTTCTTAATGTAGTATCATACTCCTTCCGTCCTTGAAAACCTTTCTCCTTTCTTTTTTCATCTGTCCCAAAAAACACTTCTTATTTCTATTAAAAATCACTTTTACCCATTATTTTTCATACTCTACCTAGCACATCATACATTTTTACTAAAAATTTACCTATCAAATCCTACTTTTACCCATCACATCATAGGACATTTTTGGAAATTCAATACCAAAATACACTCCCCTTAAATCTCTTCAAAATCAAAACATCTCATGTTTAAAGGGACGGAGGGAGTATGTTTTACTTCCCAATATAGTGCCGTTGTTCGATGCCAACTGAACATTGTTCAAGTAAATGTACACCACCATTAGACATTGTTCAAATTAAATGTCCGATATCACGGGACATTGTTCAAACTAAATATTCATCATCACAAAACACTGTTTCCGCCACTAAACATTTATTCAAGACTATCTAGTGATTAAAAAAATTGTACTACATTAAAAAATGACATGTTTTAATACGGAGTAGTATTTATTCCAAATTTCAGTCAAGGAAATGAGAGTAAAAACACACACAATCACCCATCTGCTCTTCCTCTTCTTCATCATCAACTAAATTCTTACACTTTTCTACTGTGTATTAATCAAACCCTGGGCAAAAATCCTGGCAAAAGCTTCCATCCGGGTGGGAGTCAAAGCCAGGCCGAATTCCCTTCCACCACCTTCTTCTTCTTCGATGCGGCTAGCACTGATAGAGATGGCCCCTGTTATATCAATGGACGGCATTTCAAACTTCTTCCCTTTTCCCCACCCAAAATCCAGCCCATAATAGTCAAAATTAGACGACCAGGCCACGCCAAGAATCTGATCGGGTTTCAGGCCGGAGAAACCCTTCAACCAATTCTCAGCTCCGTTGAACAGCCCATCCTCTTCCCCGCTGTACAACCGGCGGCGTATGCCGCCTCCGATCACGGCCGCCGCCTCTGCCAGCCCGTCTTCTCCCAGGATCTGCCCCACCTTCGCGTAACCATGACACCCCGTCAGACAGTTGCCGAAGTAGTTCCCCGGCAGCGGCGGATCCAAGTGCGCCCGACAATCCGCCGGGCAAGCAAAGAGCAAGTTCTCGTCGTCGCTGCTACACGCGCCGCCGCCGGCATCGCGTCGAGCTCGTACCACGCAAATCCACAGGTACGAGCATGTCACGGTGAACGTCGACACGTGTGGGAGGTCCGGCCGGCGAGCCAGGATCCGTTTCTTGAGTTGCTTGATTTGGTCCGGAGTCAGGGTAAACGTGGCCCGCACCTTGCCGGTGATCGACGGGAGTAAATGCCGGTGGGTGTCCCGGAAATTTACACTCTTCACGCTGTCCCAGAATACTTTCCCCAGTCCTTTCCGATCTGTGATCGTCTTCCTGTCGTAAGACGGTAAAAATTGAGATGGTAAATCTGAAACAGATGAAAGGTTCGGGTTAGAAGAAAAGAAAGCCCAAGACTTCATGAACCCGAAGATGCTGCGGGCGTCACCCACGACGTGGTGGTTGGTCACGCCGACGCAAATCCCCACATCGGGAAATAGCGTCACCTGTAAGGCCAACAAGGGGAGTGAGAATCCGGCGGCCGGAGACTCTGTTGAAGCAGCAGGGGGTAAGCTGGGGACGAGGGGATGAAAAAGAGAGCAACTTTTGACACCATCCGACACGAGGTGCTCGAAAACGCGTTCGCTTGAATCCGACACGGCGATGACCAGCGGGACGGTGTCTCCGGGAGCGTAACGGATTTCCGGCAGGACGGAGTTGTCGGGTGAGACAATTAATCTGCCGGCCAAGGGGGCGTAGGGTTGAAGGGCTCGGGATAAGGAGGATTTGAGGGTGGGAATTAGGGTGTGTAGGAAGTGTGTTCTTGAGACAGAGTGGGAATAGAAGACGAGGCCGTGGACAGGGGGCTGTGGGGATAACCAGACCAAATCGAGGAATGTAAGAGGAAGAGTGGTTTCCTCGGTGGATTAAGACGGTGGCGCCACCGGAACTGTGTCGAGGACGGTGACGTCGTGGGGTTGGGTACTGCCGGCCATATGTGAATTGGATGATTCGTCTTCTTTCTGATTCACTCCGGTGAAATTGCAGGGGGCTAAAGAAAAGATAGATGAGAGTTGTTATTGGTTAGTGCTATATGTGGAGGGAGCAGGTTACGGATAATAAATGTACAATGTCTCATATAAAGAGTACGGAGGGAGGGAGTATTACTCTCATGATTATGATTATTGACTAATAAATACTCTCTCCCTCCCCCTGTATTTGTTCACTTTCATTTTTACACACTATCCAATGCACTTCATTAATCCATTTTATCTTGTAATTTGTATATTAAAAAATTATATATTAATAATCTATATGTTAAGACAAATCAAACATGAATATATTTAGGCTTACACATTGAGAGAATTTGATGAGTCAAAGTGCTTAAATGAACAGTTCCAAAAATCAAAAGTGGACAAAGACAATGGGACGGAGGGAGTAATTTTTATTGTGTGGTTCGGGATGTGCAGGATCAATTTATGAGTGACTAAATGCATGGGAAGTGTTGAAAGTGTGCTAATGGCAAAGACTATGGGGGTTCGGGAGGCTTTGAAGTGGCTAAAGGACTGGAGCAAGGAGCAAGGGATTATGGTGGAAATGGACAATGAGGTGGTTTTTCGAGCTCTCCAAGACGCTAATGGGCGTTCATCTAATTTTATGGACGTTGTTAATAACTGTGTATGTTTGAGAACCTTTTTTTCCCACTTTTTCTTGAATTTAGTTTGAAGATTAGCGAATGAGATTGTTCACTTGATGCTAGGGTGTCTGATTGTATGTTTGTTATCGGGAGTGGGTGTCAATTTCCTCTAGATTTTATTTTGGATGCTTTGTATGCTCATACAGTCATACCTTGAATTAATACAAGAGGTTTTTTTTTAAAAAAAAATAAATAAATAAATAGAGGAGTGTATATCTAGAGATTGACTTGTTAATTGTTATACTCCCTCCGTCTCCCATAAATATTCACATTAGACCTTTTTATTTGTCCACCATAAATCTCCTCATTGTTTTTTTTAACAATTAAAATACCACAACTGTCTCCACTTACTTTATTTATTACATCTCAACTACTTCATTTAATACATTCCACTCATTTTCATTAAGGGTATTATGGTAAACTTTTACTCCCTCCGTCCCAAATTATTTGTCACATTTCTATTACCGAGATAAAATATCAAGTTTTTTTAAAATTAATTTTATTTACATATTGGTAAAAAATAAAAAATAAAAATTTCATATCAAAAAACCACATGAAAAGTTCTTCGAAATAAGAGGTGTCAAAAATATTTTATTTTATCAAATAACCAATGAAAACGTAGAAATAAACAAAGGTTCCCGCGACTGTTGAAAAAACAAATGTGACAAATAATTTGGGACGGAGTGAGTACCTTTTTTCAACTCTCCTTAAAAATCACAAAAAGTCAAAATGAGAACATGTTAGGGGGCGGAGGGAGTACTAGACAAGCAGTTGAAGTTTTTGTGTAAACTATACGGAGTATGAATTTGATAACTTGAAAACCATTTAAAACAACTACAAACTTGGGAGTTGGTGTGAACATGTATTACACACTTAAAAACTTGTCTTCATCGTTACACAATTTTTGTACCTAAGAACATTTTTTTACTTAGAGGGTGTGGCAGTGCGCTGCTTTTAATAATTTAGCTTCTACTATGAATGATTGAATGGAAGTTGTTTTACTCTGTTTGGCATGTTAACTTCTGCTTTTCACCACAGGTATTTTGTAAATAGAACACCGTTTCGGAGAAGCAGGTAGTGCTTTTACTTTCGACTTTTGTGGAAATCACTTTATCCACATGTTAATCACTCCCAAACACCCTCTTAATCCGGTATATATTACAGTATTCCTTAGAGTTTTTATTCGTTTCTAAATGAAAATTGACATTTGACTTTAATTAAATAAAAAATTATATGATATATTTATTAAATAAAATTATATTTTAAAAATATGTTACAAGATAAATTTAATTCGTGTATGAATATATATTATACATCGTATAAACTTTATTTATTTAATGGTCAAAATATATTTAATTTGACTGTAAAAAATCAAAATTGAATAAACACTCTTGCACAAAAGTAGTTTGGGTAGTTTGTGCAACTAATTTTCATTGACAAATAATGTTCCTGAAAATATCACACCACCAAACCTGTGAAAATTATCCAATGGTAATTGTTGTCGATGAAAATGTCTCATTTTCAATGTTAGAATAATTATATACTCCGTAAGTTAATTTACTAGGTTAGATTATTTAGTTAATTACGCCCTCCGTCCCAAAATTAATTAAAGAATAAGAACTACGTGGAAAATCCTGTATCTTTTAAAGCTCCATTCTTCAATTCAAACATTTGATTTCTGATCATCTTTTTTATGCTCAAATAGTCAAATGATGTCATAAGAAGCAGCCTACTTTAAGGTTGTAAAAAAACAACAAAAGCTGATACAAGGTGACTTGAATTGGCAGCATCAAATGCGGCTAGAATCCCGCCCAAAGACGAATCTCCGTGTCCAGTCAGCAACAACGAGGACACGCGTGCGCCAGCTCACCTGTTTGCTCGCGTATACGGAGTACCAGAGCCACTGCGTGCTGTGGCCCATGGAAACCCAGTCCCCAGGAAGCTCTGCTGCTGCTTGCTCCCCGCCCAAGGGGGCAAATTGACCAAAATGCCTATACCTGAACCAAAGTGCAATTCTTTTTACATTGTCCATTCATGAAAAGAACATATATCAGGAAAAACTTGAAAGCATACCTGAAAGGGAGAAACTCGTGGCGCCCAGAACTTCTGAAACGTCGAGGGCCTTCTGGGTTGTTTTTGCAGTGTTCCCAACGGTTAAAGCATCTCGACAGGTATGCACCTTGTTGTGCAGCCACCTAGCAAGTCCCATACAATATAACTCTACATTGGAACGCGCAATATACTACTCCCTCCGTTTGAAAAAAACTGTCCGACCTTCATTTTTTTGCATATCTCACAAACCACTTTTACCCCACATAAAATGTCCAAAATACCACCAAAATGGGGGGTATTTTGGAGATTTTAGGTGGGGTAGAAGTGTTTGTGGGATGCGCAAGAAATGGATGCAGAACTGTTTTTTTCAAACGGAGGCACAAGAAAATGAGATTTTTTTAAAGGACGAGACCTGAGCAGTTGCAGGAAGACTCTTCATCTGTGAATCGACGTGAGAGAGGGCTAACTTGAACCCCTCAATATCTATCTCGCCTTGTTTGTTTCCTTGATCGTCTTGTAACAAGTCCACTACTTCAAGCAGGTGTTTGTTCTTCACATACAGTTCAACTTGAGGGTACCTAATGATGATATCTTCAATAACGTCTTTAAATTCTTCGTTCGTTAAGGTGCCCGAATTGTCTTTGTCTGCTGCTTTGAAAATGGTCGTAATGTCTTCCTAAAACCACAAACCGTTTTACACGAGTGAGAAGATTTGGGATTTTTAACAGTTATAGTGGCACAGAGCATACCATTATTTTGCGTTGATCTACAGTGGCACAATCCCCGAGAGCATACACACTCTCACAACCTTTGACTCTTAACCACTCATCAGTTGCAAGTGCACGCCTGTTGGTCTGCACATATAAATTAAAATGAGATTTCATCTAAAAGAAATCGCCCAAAATAAGAGTAAAACATAGCCATTATCCCAAAACAGGAGTAACATGTTTTTATCTTCAAAATAGGAGTTTGCACTGTGTTTTTGGTATTATATATTGACAGTAGTGACATTGTAATTCCTATTTTGGGATTAAAAACATGTAGCTCCTATTTCGGTATTTTCTCTATGATTAACCTCTAGTTTAGTCTTTTTTCTCTTTATCTAAATGATTGGTCTCTAAATACAAAAACCAAACCCTGTAAAATCCAACAAAAAGTAAGTCCTCTTATACAGATTTCGAGAATAACAATATGAACACGAAAACACAACAGATTTACGTGGTTTACCAACGTTGTGTTGGCTACATCCACGGGAAGAGGGGGCAGCTTTATTATGGAGAGGCAAGAACAGAATACGGCTTATGATTTGTGATAGCACCTATATATATAGTGCTAGGCTACACCGTAACAGACTTGGGCCCAACCTAGAGAATTGACAGATATATAGTGCTAGGCTACTCCCTGCTGTAACGGGTCAGATTCAAGGCATTATGACAAGTCTTGGGGAAGGTGTGTGTACGCTGACCTTCCTACCCCTCCTTGGAAGTAGAGAGGTTGCTTTCAAGAGACCCCAGGCTCACACACAGAAATGACAAAATCACATTTCAAAGCAAACACATTAGCACAAAAGTTGACCCAAGCAACCAAAAGTACCTGGCCAATTTCTTCCATGAAATCTGCAACAACCGGGCGAGTACCAACACCGGTTGACCACACAATCATTCCATGTGGCACCGAAACATTTTCTCCGGTAGCTTTTAATTTCATGTTAATGAGTTTATCAGTAACACTAACCACTCGGCATCCTGTCAAAACCTCAATTCCATCTCTTTGAAACTTCTGCTCAGCAAAGGAACTGATTCTTTCATCAAACCTGCCAGCGCGAATTTTAAGGGTTTGTTTGGCATGAGAATTTTTTTAATAAAAAAAGCACAAATGATAAAACTTACGTGTTCAGAATATGGTCGCCGGATTGGATAATGGTTATTCTCACAAGATCTTTCACAGATGGGTATATTTTCACTAAATCTTCGTGAACAAAGTCATGTAACTCTGCGGCGAATTCTATCCCAGTTGGACCGCCCCCTACTATGACAAAATGGAGGTTGGTTCTCCTCTCCTCTTCACTCAACTCTGGAAGCACTGCCTTTTCAAAGCAATCAATCACAGCTCGACGATTACTTTGAGCATCTTCTACTTCCTAAAAAATACACAAAGATTGTTTCTTTTTCTTTGAAAACGCAAGGATTCACGAAAAAAAATATCTATTTCCTTTGTGAAATGAGAGATAAACCTTCAGAAAATGGCAGTTCTCCAAAACACCAGGGGTGTTAAAAGTGTTGACTCTTGCTCCAACGGCTACAACCAGATAGTCATAATCTAATGAAAAATCATTTTTCCCAACTAAATTTTCATCAATGAGAGAACGACAATGCACTCTCTTTTCCTTTGCATCAATCTTCAAGCACTCTGCTTCCCAAAATTTAATTTCTCCATTTCTCTGCCAAGATGGGGTGAACGGAAACACAACAAAATAAATAAAATTTCAAAATATCAGTTACAAACTTAATCATTTTCATACCTTTTTATTATGTTGCGTATTGGCTCAACTATGCTTCTTGCCTCAACGGTACCACATGTGACACTAGGTAACAGTGGAGTAAAGGCAAAGTAGTTTCGAGGCGAGACCACTTGAACATCATAGGATGAAATGTCCAAATCCTTTAGGAAACTAGTGCCACCCCATCCTGTCCCTAACACCAACACTTTTTTCTTCTTTGGTTCGACTGACTCAATATGTTCCACCGCCTTTGTCTCACTCTTTGGATTGGAGTCTGCATATGCAATCAGACCTCCACTACAGCATAAAGATACATTTTGGATTAAAAGATCAAGGCCAAATACAAGTTTCGAACCAATAAAAGAAAACACTTCATGATTAGCCGAGAATAACTCATGTTCACAAATGTGGAGATAACAAGTGACAATGCCTCAAAATGTGCAGGTTAAGGTTTTGTTTGGCTGTTAAATGCATAGTTTAATGGACATAAACTCATAGTAAAAAAGAATGTGCATCTTTCCTTTACTCATCAATCCATCAAAATAGAGAGATGCCACTTTATACATTGCAATCGGTTAAGAGTTTCAGATCAAGAAATAACCTAACCACTTCTAAACTAATGCATTATAAAGATACACCCCTTAGTCAGTCAAGGATAGGATCACAAGAAACTCCAAAGATTAAATTCCATTTATATAAGGTGCATAAAATTCTGAAGATTAAAATAAAATCTGGGATCAATATTGCTGTTTATAATGTCTAGATTATTAAAATGATGTATACTCTGGGAAATGGGAAAATCTAGACAATTTGAATCCGCACACACACACACACACACACTATAAGGACAAAATATGGGGGTAGAATACAGATTCCAGATTGCATATTCTGATGGAAAACTCAAAAATAGTGAAAATTAAACAGTGGGAACTCCAAGAATCAAGGTGGGCTCTGGTCAAAATGTAATCTTTTCATCAAAACAAAGGTGGAAATGACAAAAAAAGGGGGATTGAAGATAACCTGACGGAGAAGAGAACAGCAAGTTTAGAATAGTTTGAAGGATTGGTATGAAGAGCTCTGAATAAATGCGAGAATGCGCCCATCTCCGTCTTCTTTGTTATTCTTCCTCCTCTCGAATCTTACCTGATGCATAAGAATTTGATATTTAAAATTCCAATACGAATGTACTCATATTAAAGTTATATGATAATACAATGTATTTTTTTCATATATCAGAATCAAAATTTGCAAACTTTGACCAACAAAAATCAAATGAGAAGAACATTTTCAAACGAAAAGAGTAAGCAAGAAAAATGCATTGGAGTACTGCTCGAGGAACTAAAACGCAAAAAGCCATTATATTTGGAGTACTACTCGAGGAACTGAAACACCAAATCTTTAGAGTTAAGCCATTTTAAATCAACGGTTACACTCTTTGAGTGGCCACGGAAGATATTGGATACTATAGTTTTGTTCTCAAAATTGATACGGAGTAATTCATACGAGGTATCATCTAACTCTCTTGGTTAACCTCACACTCAATCTCAACTCCAACTCATCCTCACCCACATTGCCACATCAATTGCATCACACAAATTCAATTGACTTTGAGGTTAAGAGGTTTAATTTCAAAGTTAGCTAAACTTACAAGATACTATTGATATGAGTAGAAAAGTGTTGGGATAGATATAATTTCAAATGCAGAAGCTCATTTTTCATTAATAGATGTTCCTGCGTCAACACAAACACTTAAACACGGCTAATATTCAGTAGAGAAATTTAAGAATTTGTTCCTGATTTGATGTCTCGCCCTCAATGTCATGTTTTTAGAGATCATTTTGGTACACAATTATTGGCATCCATAACTAAGTATTTTAGAAAAATTTATCTAAATAAGACTAAGGGGATGTTTGTTTCAGCCTCTTAATGGTTCAGATGTCTGAATGATTCAGCACTTAATGGTTCAGACTGTTTGTTTCAGCCTCTTAATGGTTCAGATGTCTGAATGGTTAAGTATTATACAGACTCTGAATGGTTAAGAACTGTTATCTGAATTGATCAGACATTTGCCTCTGAATAGTTAAGCAATATACTAGCTCTTAATGGTTCAGACTTCTTACTGGTTCAGCACTTAATGATTCAGACCTCTTACTGGTTCAGCACTTACCCATTCAGAAGTTGCCAAACAGCCCCTAAAACATAATGACTTTCCCAATATAGAATCACATGTTTTTATTTCCCAATGTAGGACCTTTGGTCATTATCTTAGATCTTCCCATTATGCGTTACGAGGTTTGACCGACTTTATTTTCAATTCAATTTAATTGATTATAGAAGTAAAATTTTAAAATAAAATTTATATAGTAATAAACTACATGAAAAGTTCTACAAAATTAGAGGTGACAAGACTATATTATTTTACGAAACGACTAGTAAAAATGAACAAACAAAGTGAGTAAAGTTTAACTCTGTAAAATGTGATAGTCGGGTCAACTGCATCATAAATCATGTGTACAAACTGTTCTCTACCCGGGACATGTGATACATCTGAGGCATCAGCTTGACGAGGGACTTTACATCGTTGTGGAGGTACGTAGTCACCATGATTCTCCCCGTGACATACCCAATCAAAGTAATTGGGTGTGAATCCAAACCGCAAAATGTGCTCCAGCATAATCTTTGATGAGCAAAACTTGATGTTCTTACATTTCTTGCAAGGACATCACATTTTCTTGTTATCCAACCTATCTACATTGGGACTTGACTCACAGTACTCTACAAACTCAACCACGTTGTCCACCCATTCTTGACTAACAACACCTTCTCTTTCATATTTCTTATACATCAACTCACGATTTTCAAATGGACTCATTCTAGAAACGCCTGGTAATTGAAAGGCAACAAACAACAATCATTTAGCCAAGAATATCAATGACATTTATACCAACAAACCATACCTACAATAAAGACGACTAACAAACGACAATTTGATTAAACCACAAACAACACTAATTTAACTATAGATATGAACATATTATACACTAAATTTCACAAAATTCAACAAAAGTTTACCTAAATTCACAATAAATGTCAAATTTACTAACACAATTTTAATTAAAATTTTAACCAAAAATTAATGCAATTTTTACCCAATTTCATGTCAATTTCATCTCATATACACACAATTTAAGTAAATTTCACCAAAATGCACTCAATTTCACACAAAGAAATTCAATTTCACCAAAAATTAAATTAAACACAAATACCTACGGCAAAGATGCAGAGGATGTCCGGCGGGGAAGAGAAACGGCTGGCCGGCGTGGACGACGGGTGGCGACGGCTGGTGGGCGGCGCAGGTGGAGCGGCTGGAGATGACGGCGCGGCTGGGGAAGACGGCTGGGCGCGACGGCGTGGCAGGAGGGCTGGCGTGGGTGGTGAGAACTTTCGTCGGCGGCGAGGAAGGGCGTTGAAGGCTGGCGGAGGAGTGGAGGACGGCTGACCGGGAGAGAGATGGGATAGGGTTGGAGTGAAAGACAAATGGCTGGGAAAATTTCAATATCGATTATCACTTCAGAAGCTGCGGCGGATCGGCGACGGATATATCCCTCCGTCGCAGATTATCAGGTCAAAAATTGACCAACTTAAATTTGCGACAAGCACAAATAATTCGTCGCTAATTTGCGACGGAAAAATAGAGTCCGTCGCAGATTTTTTTTTTCAAAGATTTTAAATCCGTCGCTGATTCGTTGCAGATCTGCTACGGAAATGAGTCTGTAGCAGATTTCCGTTGCAGACGAAACAAATTCTTGTAGTGAAAAGAGTAAGCAAGAAAAATGCATTGGAGTACTACTCGAGGAACTAAAACGCAAAAAGCCATTATATTTGGAGTACTACTCAAGGAACTGAAACACCAAATCTTTAAAGTTAAGGATCATTTCAATTCAACGGTTACACTCTTTGAGTGGCCACGGAAGATATTAGATAATGAAGTTTTGTTCTCAAAATTGATACGGAGTAATTCATACGGAGTATCATCTAACTCTCTTGGTTAACCTCACATAAAATCTCAACTCCAACTCATCCTCACCCACATTGCCACATCAATTGCACCACACAAATTCAATTGACTTTGAGATTAAGAGGTTTAATTTCAAAGTCGGCTAAACTTACAAGATACTATTGATATGAGTAGAAAAGTGTTGGGATAGATATTGATGGGTATATCCTTATACCCGAAAGGGACAGGTCAAAAAATGACCGGTCACTTTTATCAATCACCAAATGAGGTTAACTCTTCGATTGGGATGGGTCAAAAGTTGACCGGTCACTTCCACTAAAAAAGTGACCGTTCACATTTTGGGCGATAGCCAAAATGTCGCCTAATGTTACAAAGGACATTCTAGAAGACCAGAGACGGGTTGAGCACAGAGAATGACCGGGTCACTTTTGAGAGAAGGTGACCGGTCATATCACTTTACTTGGCTAACATTGGTTCAGTCTCTTAGGCATGGTGAACCACGTCAGAGGTCAAGGGGACACCCCGCCGCTCATCCATCAAGAGGCACACAGTGAAAGGGATGTTTGTCATTTTGCAGGGTTGATTGGATTGAGAATATCCATTTAAGTCTTTGATTGAACAGTACATGTCTTGGCCTATAGTTGCTAAATTCTATGATTATACAGTGTTCCCATTATCTACAGTGACCTTCCCACGAGCTTCCTATTTTGTCCATGGATGAACAGGGGAAGATCACAAATCCTCCTCTATAAATATGATGATATTGGATAGAGGAGGGGAGCCAATTTTTCTCTCACTAAAGTTCACTCTTGAGATAGAGTAAGAAATATAATTCGGACTGAGGAGATTTACCCGGTCTAGGTCATACTTTGTGTTCTTGTTGTGTGTTTTATATTACGGGTTGAGTGTGTCCAGGTCAAACCCGGTTAACCCACCCCGCTATATTTACACCATCATTTTTGGCGCCGACCGTGGGACCGATTTTTAAAGTTTTTCAACCAGGTCAAAACTTTACCCCCACTAAATATCCACAAATATGTCTTCGAGCAACTACAACGCTGTGTCAAGCCAGACTGCGAGTGAAAGCACTCTTGCCATCCCATTGATGATGTCGAGCATGGGGACGACCTTTGCTCCGATCACTACTGTAGGATCAATTGGCATGATCCCAATCATGTCAACCCCAACTCCTACGCCGACGACAACAATGTTTCCAGGCTCGATAACAACGCCTGGTGGAGCATTCACACCATACCCGTCAGCTTGGGCTCAGTTTGCTGCTGACCCGGCAAATGCTCAGGCTCTACAGGGCTATCAACAGGTGATGGCCATGATGCAACAGGCAGGTGGTTTCATGCCATTTGCCTATCCTGGTATGACGCCGCCAATTATGCCACCTCCGGTGTCGACCCCGTCGACATTTGTCCCTAGGATGGTCCCTATACATCCGGTGAATTTGACGGGGACTTTGAATGAAGCAGCGCCCTCAAATGTCCATGAAATCAATGAGGCGGAGCAGGAGGCGGCCCGCAGGAAGAAGGGTAAGGCTATAGCCGAACCCAGCAAGACTCGAGATTCGGCATTCAAACGCCTAGGGGGCAAAGAGGATGGACCCCGCAAGTCTGCCAAGCTACGTCTTGGTCCTGAGATGGGCCGGACTAGCGCAATGGAAAGACTTGGCGGG